CCTGAATTAAGGGAAGAGGGTAGCGGTCTTTAACTATCAAGTGATTTAGTACTCAGTAATTTACACAAAAATATAACCTGCCTCTAGATTTATAGACAAATAAAACTAGTATGCCTATAGGGCTAGTATTGACTCGAATGAACTTCTTATCAAGTAAGTCTGTGAGAGTCTTTCGTAAAACAAGTAGTTCGTCTCGGCTTATACTATATAATAAGCCAAAGGGTAGTTCGCTATTAGTATAGACCTTATAGTCTAGGCCTGGTCAGTATAGTAGTAGTTTATTTGCCTTCTCTGGTCGAATATTAGTAGAAACTTATAGTACTAGATAAATAATAATTCACGGACGTTCAGGACCTTATCTTTCTAGTTTAGCTTGTCTAGGGCCTTGTTAATATCTACAAGTGAGGCAGCAAAGACACGAGGTCAATTAGTATAAGGATTAGTATAATCCCTATTTTTATTAGAGCTAATAGCTATAGCTACAGAGACATATAGACGATTAGTATAAGGATTAATATAATTTTTTTTTTGCTTTTCCTTGTCTAGTACTCGAAGATAGTTATATTTACCTATCGAACTATAAAATCTTGTATTCGCTAGTCTAGGCCCCTCCGACTATTGACTCGGGTATTATTGACTAGTAGTTGTTACTTTCTTCCGTTGATTTGGACGTCTTTTTTGATAATCCAAGAATTTCCGAGAATAAGGTTATAACCTCCAGAGGCGTTATATATACCTAGACTCGTTCCCGATAACTGTCTAGTCTAGGTTATAAATATAGGCCTCTGTAACTCGTTGTTGGGGTTTACTATCAAAGGCTTCGATGTCGAATAGTTGGACTGAGATATGTTGAATAGTATTTCTGCTTTTCTTCAAGAAGAAGGGTTATATAGGAATAGGCGGCATAGCCTAGTCAACTATAATTTTTGCAATAAATTCCTAGTTGATAATACTGTCTATTATAAAGAGTTTCGAGCCTATATTTTTCTGGAATTTAGACTATTTCTCTTGTAGGTCTTCCTTAATTAAAGGTCGAATAGTATTCAATTTTCTGTCCTAGACACAACTTCGTCTAGGACTTATTCTTTTCCCGAGTCCTTAGAATTGGGGGGTATATTACTCTACTAGTCCTCTTTGGCAATTCTGAGGGTCTTACCCAAATTAATTCTTTAGCAAAATGTCCTATTCTTCTATACTTAATATAAGTATTATACTTATTTACTTTGCTAGGTCTTTTAGAGACAAATCCCTTGACGCTATATACTTGAGGTACAGGCTCTTAATCTATATCGCTTGTCTAATTAGTAGAACAATTAGTATAATTAGATATCTTTTGGCACGGCTTCAAGTCGACTATTTTAATACTTCTAAGTTATCTGCGACTATTTGTAGTTAGTCGACAAACGTTATATATAACACTAGTTCAATCTAGGCTACTACTATTGCCTTAAGCTTATATAAAAGCCCTCGACAAAGATAGTCCTTTTTTATTATATTATTTCAATTTTAACTGTTTACTTCTAATAGTACTTGCTCAAACTTATAGTAAAAATCTCGGAATATCTTATTAGACTATTTGAAGCTATTTAACTTTCTAATTGCCTTTTGGATCTTTTGGGGGTCTAAAATATTGAGTCTAATTGAGTAAAGAAGGTTTCTAATAGAAGGGTCTGAGAGGTTTTCTAATAGAACTCTATTCAAGGGTAAATCCGAGTAGCTACTTTTCCTATAAGACAAGCAAATATATATTATACTCTTTCTGACTTAGTATTATCGTATATAAGGGCGTCTACTTTATATATCTTTGTATATAAGAGGCCCCGAAACTAAGAGAAGAGAGAGGGGTCCTTGTAAGTATATTTAGATTTCGGGAGTATATATTTTAGTCGATAGGTCCCTGGGTAAGTCGTTATATTTGTGAAAGGTTCGAGTATTAATATAATTATATTTGGTTGTCGATTGATATTATCCTAAAGAGTAGCGATAATACTAAGTAATTAGACGTTAATATTCTGCTAGGCTTGGTAACTCTATATTAGCTATTTGATTGGCGTTTACTATAGTACTAACGAATTCTCATAGGAGCGACTCGGTTCTATAACGAAGAGAATTTTATATTAATCTATATATTAATCGTCTCGTAGTTTCGGTTCTGATTCTCATAGTAGACAACGTAACTGTTCCTCTTCTACTTGCCCAAGGCAAGTAGGACAATTGGGTAAAAGACTAACAAACTGACTGACTGAAGTTACTCCTATATACAGGCCTTACGGAGTCTTGAGTTATAAGGAATGATCGAATTCAAAATGTGAGGGGTTAAATCCTGGTTATACCAAAGATTCAGTTGCCAACAAATATTATTGAATTCGATAAAGAAAGAAAGTGTCTCTCAGAGCTAATCGACTGTTTATATACAAAGAACATACTATGTTTCCACAGTAACTACTGTATTCCTTAGGCATCAGCCAAGGATCACTCCCAGGGGTCTATCCCCTTATACTGTCCCTCTCTCTGTCATGCCTTACCTTAAAGATCAGGGTATTAGTTATATTTTTACAGAACCTCTATCTATAGAAGGGGCTCTATAACAAGTCGCGGATAGTAATAACTAGTATATAGGCCCGCTATATTAAGGCTCGCCTTTTAGAGAAGAATTTTAATAGGCAATTACAAGTATTTTTACGGATTTAACTTACGGCTACAGATATAAGCCTAGAGATTTCTATCTCACAGAAGCAATTCTCAGTCTATTTATACTTTGTAATAATAATTAATAAGTTACAAGGTTAGTTATTTAGTATTATTAGCATTGATTTATAGACTTCTATTTTTATATACAAGCAATTTTATATTATAGTATTCTGTATATTAATTATAAATAGGCTAAGTATCCTTTTATTACTAGAGAGGCTATATTAGACACTTAATATTATATATCTAGAAGTATTAGAGAATTTATATATAAATTAATTATATATAGTATATTATAATATATTACAAATATATTATAAACTTGACAGATTCTATAAGACTCGAAATATTTATAAGTTAAATCTTAGATTAATAAATATTTTCTATTACTTTATCTTATATAAAATACTTAATTTAAATTTATAAACAAGAATATAAATATTTTATTTATAATATTGCTCAAGACTATCTTAGTTATCTAATATTAGCTCGGAATAATTTATCTCTTTTTCTTTTTCTAGAATTACTGCCTCTTTTTTATATAAACTTGCTAGCTCTCTGTAGAGCCTCGCAAAACGGCGTACCCTCTCTAAGGGAGTATATTATAGCTAGCGACAATAGTAAGAGAGAGAGAGAGCAGAGGCAGGATAGCGGCGACAATAGTAGCGAGCTATAGTTTATTAGTATATTATTTATAGCTTATAGAAGAGACTTATAAAATAAGTTGCCAAAAGCGACCTAATCAACTATATAACTACTAGAAGCGACTTAGCGAAGCGGACGAGAGGAGGCAATAGTAGTAATTATATAAGCTAGAGCAGAAGCAGAAGCAGGAGCAGAAACAGGAGCGGCAACGGCGTCTATAAGTTGTTTATTTTATTAATTATAGTCTATAAAAGGTTAGTAAGAAGTACTAGAGTACTTACAAAGAGAACAACGGGTACCCTCACTACTATAATAGTAGTAGCAACAGCTTCTACCAAAGAAGCCAGCCACGACTATATACTCTACCTATATACCAAAGCTACCCGTGCAATGAGTGCACGGGGAAGCACGAACTTGGCCAGTATACTGGCCAAGCTCAGCTTCTAAATTAGCTGGCCGGGCGGGGTTAGTAGTACGGCCAGGCCGCCGAACAGGCATTCGCTGTACAGGCAGCTGGGAAAGTTCTCTCATGGCACGAGTTGGTACCAGCAGGAGGGCAGGCAGGGCAGGCAGGGCAGGCAGGGCAGGCAGGGCAGGCAGGGCTCCTGGTGGTGGTGGTGGTAGTGGTGGAGGAGGGGCGAAGGGAGGGATCTGGACACTGAAGCCAGCTGACGCAGGATTGTTAATAGGTGTAAATGACATTTTTTATTTCTATTATATTCTATTAGTATAATTAATCACTTAGGAATAAGGGCACATAGAAATCACCTACCTTGCTGTGCTGTAGTATTGTTGTTGAAGAAAATAAATCTCAGTTTTGAATATAATATTGAATATAGCTTCATTAGATATTAGGTCACGTGATATTTACTTCAATTATAAACACTACTATTAAGTTATATATATAAAATCACTACTATTAAGCTATATATATAAAATTATAGTATTTAAAAGCTCCGCAGGACGAGTTCCAAAGTATAGCAAGCCCTGTGAGCGTAGTAGGTCAGGTGAGCCTAATATAATTCCGTAGCGAAGCGAAGGACTATTATAAGGCTCGCCGCCTGCAAGCCTCAGGCTTGCAGCAAGGAACTCGTTTACTAAATTTGAGAGTAATTAACTTAGCATACTCACACTAGAAATTGATCTGGCCAAGTAATCGAGTGTGAGATGATGAAAAGGAACTGACAATCCGTCAGTCACAATGACATCCGCACTCAGACGCCCTTAACCTCTTTGAGCTGTGTTCTCATCTCAAATTGGCGAGAGTAATTAACTTATTATGATGATCATACAACCTAAGTAGCATTGGTTAGTGGCTTTGAGGTATATTTTTTTCATTAGGAAAGAGCTCTCAGTGGTTAGCCTATTACTAGGCTTATTGCCTACACTTCAATAAGTGACAAAGTTTGTTGTACATAATCACGTGATCCAAATTTCCCCTAGATAAAACTTAGCCATCGTAGCAAGACTTTAATGATATATATATTTAAAGTTTAAAAGAAAATGTAGAGGAATATATATATGAGTGGAACCCATATTGGGTATATAATCCTCGCTTATATTGAACAAAGGCGAAAATTGAGTATTCATTATAAGTAAAAAAAAAAGGACTTCCCTTCTATCATAATTATTATCGGGACCTGTCCTGAGAAAGCAAAAAAGAATGATCAGGCTGGGGCTCGATCCCAGGACCTTCTCGGCACATTGAATGTGTTTTATTAACAAGATGTTAACGAGATGTGATAACCAACTACACCACCCGACCAGTTGAAACACTTTTGCTTATCCATAAATATATTCCAATTTGTCGTGTGCCGAGAAAGCTGCGGGAAAGGTGTGGGACACAGAGCACTTGGCACATATGATTGGACAAATGCTCAACACAACCTGGCAACCCCGCACAGTTCGTGTAGGCCACAATAAATGTTACTAAGCATTGACCAGTAATTCGCTACAAGTGGCAACATACCGCGAATGTCAACGGATTATTGACCTCACTTCCTTTGGATACATGACTACCATCACCTCACATTTAACACCTACTTTGCCATGTGGGTGGTCACTCTAGGCCTGGCATGCTGTTTGTGAAACTCATTGATTATGTCTTGCATAAATGCTGGGTATGTTGGCCTCGCGCTACCGAATTCTGGACCATGGAAATCTCAGATCAAGCACTATTTCTCCGACCTCACTAGCTTGCGGTGGACGAAGAACGCGAACCACCCACGTGGCAAAAGATACCCCTAGGGTAATAAAATGCGGGCAAAAACAGTATCTGAGGAAGAAAGGGTAACCATGATGTCATTTGGCACGTTACCCGTTATAGTTTGGGTAATAGCATTATGCGATTTTCTATCCCCACCGGACAAGCCAACAACTCAGTGCAAGGTCCCGGACTGCTTGCGATATTTCCGGCTCTTTATGTTGACGTTCTTCAAGAGATCATTGCTTTGTACTGGTTATTGAAGTGGATTGTACTTTTGATTGATAGCAAGTTTTACAGGTATATTTTATAATAAATTATAGGTTTATTTACTAAACCATTTCCCAATACCCTTCTTCGCCTGTTCCTCCTTTACTTGCGCCTCTCTTCTTGCTTTCTGCTTCTCCAAAATCATCATCACGAAATCCCTTTCCCTTTTGTCCAACTGTTGTTTGCTCAGCATTCCCTTTCCTCCATCAAGAGCAGTATCGGGGTCATTGTCAACAGCTTGACTTGGCCCTGTACCTTGCCCTGAGATTCCCAATTTCAAACTTAATTTCTGTGCTTTTCCATCCAGCCACGTTCCATTAGAAAGTCCATCTCGCCAGTGTGATGGAAGTCGGGCGTGTCCAACCCAAGCACCAAGTAGTGCTCCCGCAACGCAGGCATTTGTGTCGGCATCGCCACCTTCCATCACTAGTTCAGTAATGATCTTTTCAAATAACTGCGTTCCATGTGAGTTCGGGCTCGCCTCACGCCGCATCGCAAGTCGGAGAGCCAAGATAGCTGATCCAAGACATTTATACACATATCCCATCTTCTGTGAGTCATCCAGCTGTAAGTCTCTGAAATCCTGAAAGTTGCAGTGCTTCATGAATTCCTCATACTGAAGCCGTGACTCTTCACCTACTTCACGAGCTGCCTTTACTTCCGTCCAATCCCCTTCCGTCTTCGGGTTCTCTGGATTCTTCAACTCGTCCCTGGCGTCGACCCAGGCATACGCTTTCCCAGTGAGAGCATCAATATCCGCTTCACAAAGGACCTCACCTCGAAGTATGCCTCGACCCAGCGCGGCTGCAAGACAACAGCTAACCACACATCGAGGATCCACGTGAGTCACTCGTCCAACATCCGCAGCGACACGAAACGTCTCTTCCAAGGTCCTTCCAATGCACATCGCCCCCAACGGATGCGTTCTCATTAGTGATCCATTGGGAGCGGCATTTCGTTTGCTCTTCAACCATATCTTCAACGCTACACCCTCCGGGTCTTTCAAATACTCAGGATCAAGCACAACTCGACCAACAGTCTGTCCAATTCCCAATGGAGGACGATCCAGACATCGTAATCCTTGGGTAATCCAATTGTTGATGCGTACAGCGATATCCCGTGCATCAACGACTGGCGATTGCGGAGCAGGCGAATTGCGTAAATATGATAGAATCAGGAGGAGTGATTGATCTGTGTCGTCCGTCCACTCGCCCGGCGTGAATTTATCACGGTGACTGTCAGCTCTGAAGGCGGTTCTTTGGGGGCCAGTAAGGTAGAATTTTCCGGGGTAGGTGCGAAAGCATTCTGTGCGCGGGAGGAATTCCGTATAGAGACCTATGGCATCGCCTAGAGCCGCACCAACGATGTTCCCAAGGACTTTGTCATGAGCCGTGGTTCGCACGAATGGGTGGAGTTTCAGGAAATCCATTGGGGAAACTATAGGTGGACTTGGAGGGTTGCGCATTTCGTCCTCAACGTTTTCCGGTGTATCTTCAGGATTGCTCATGGCTGCAAATCTATAAGTACCACTCCCAATTGAATAATCTCGTTGCCTATCGAGGCAACGCTTTATCGACGTTGTCGTGGTCAAAAGTGTGTTCAGTGAATGGGGCTGAGGCAGTCGCAAATGTCCCATCAGACGGCTGAACATGGCGCCGGTGCGCCACAGCTGAAACTATTGACTTAAAGTGACTCGATGCTCAAATTCTTACTCTTGTTTCAAGTCTATGAATTGTGTTATGATGATGCCTATCTCGTGACCAATATATTGTTGTTGCCTTGATATCTGGACAAGGTGTACGAAACGACGGTAACTAGAAGCTGTAATTAAGGTGGTACTGCAAGTAAGATTCAACTTTCATTACTATTATAATTCCTTGCTAACCACCTTGAAAATAATCGCACAATGCTGTCCGCAAATGACCTTTGGATATCATAAAAGCCTCTATGGCAAGCCCCAACTCCAATGCCCATTCTCGTGTGAGACCTTCTGTACCTCCAACACCCCTCCTTTCCGTAGATGACTTGAAAGTCGAGGATTTCCTCGCCTACCTCGAACCTAGCAAGATGAATAAATTTCCATTTCGCAAATATCCACCCCGTCTGCACCCACTTCCTTTCATGTTAGCAATAAGACTTAATCTTCTCGAGCTGGAGTTGGAGCTGGAGCGGCTGGAGGAAGGGCCACGCTCTTAGAAAGAGTATATGCAACATCACTCCCACCTAGCCATCTTTGCACCGTCATAAAGTTCTTTAAAATCGCCGCAGCGGTATCCCACTCAATTAGCGCAATTGCCATTGTTGCTGCAGCGAACATGCCTTTCACAAACCTCCCTTCGGGCCGATCCCTCGTGATGGGATTTATGACCAACAAAACCCAGAAGAAGATCGCCGGGATATTCTTCCATCGCGACAATGGTACCCTCCACATCGTCATCCATACTTTCATAAGAAGCGAACCTGCGCCTGCAACTGAAATTGGCTTTCGGGCAAGAATGACACTGGTGTAAAGGACGGCCGTTGCGCGACAAGTCTGATAAACGAAGTCACTCTGGTCATGTGTTTCGGCCTCAGAGGAGGACAACCTGTCATGAATCCACTGCACCGTTGCTCGGAATTTCAATCTTGCTTTCTCCGGGTCGCCACTCTTGCTCAAGGATAAAATCGAATTTGTGATGAAGCGCATGTCATCCAAGATAGTGGCAGTTCCAGCACTGATATTAAGACCATCCGCAAAATCTATGAACCGAGATTTCGTTGGTAAGAATGGACTCTCAAACTCGACGTGCTCCGTCTCGATGGCAAAGGCCGGTTCTTGTGGCCCGTGAACGATTGGTTCTGATTCGAATGTGCATGCAACTTGGAAATCCGTCCTGAATATGCATGTTAGGTATAATTTATTTGTTTATGATTTAGTGCGACTTGAATTACCTCATCATCATGATGCGTAATATTTTAAATGTGATGTTTTCAAGCCCTCCTCGACTCCGTACCATTTCTCGAAGTCCATTTAGATGGGCAATCACACTTCGACAATCGGCATATACCAACTATGTCCGAGATCAGTACAATCAAGAATCCTAAAATGATCCCACATACCTCATTGTAAGCCAAGGACATCACCGCTCCAATTGCTTCATCATCAACACCTTTACTATGTGTGGTAATATGCTCATTGATCAAGGTGATGAGCTTCACCCGAGCAGTCATAGCATCGACTGAAGTCTCGACATCGACCTTGCGAGCCATTGCTTGGAAATAAGACGAGGTTAAGACAGAGATATAGACGAGCAAGGGAGATTGGATCATGAAAGGTATCCAGTATTTGTTGAATTCAGGTACTGCAGAAGTGCCATCAAGTGATGACATGAATGGCGATAGCCTCTGTAAAACTAGACATACATAAGCCTCGGTGTTTACGCAACAAGATGTGGATACGTACAGAAGTGAAAAAGCTCGGCATTGCGGCGGGTAGCTTCAATTGGGAGGGAGACCAAAGGTGCTATCTGATCGTTTCCAACCTGGACATTGCTGACTCCAGAATTTGGCCAACTCCTGAGAGCTTCAACCGAAGGATCATGGATAAATGATGCGTCGATCTGGAAAATGTGAGAGATATCGCTTTCTGTGCCTTTCTCCTTTTTGATGGATGGTTTCGAAATGTCAGCGCTACCACTGCGGCTCTTCGTAGGTATACGAGATTCTAAAACCCCCATCAGCATTCATCAGGTTCAAGATTGCTAAAATAATTCTTCAATGAAAGCTATGATGTACCAACAACACCAACCCCACGATATCCCGCACCTGAACCAGACGAATTCAATTGATCATGATTCAATTCCACCAGCCTCTCAAGGTTTGATCGCTGTTTTTTTGGTCTTCCCAGATGTCAGTACCCAATAGCATCTCAAAAGTCGAACCATTATTTCCTGGGAGCGGCTTGCTCACTTCGGTTCTGTATATTTGCACTCTACTGGAGGAAAGCGCCTTGCACAATTATTACAAGGCCTGTCTTTTGCCTGGTTACACTGTATACCCGGTCAGCCATCAGATGGAATGCCTGAGGATCACCCAATCAGTACCTTCTGTTTCCGCCGTTTGCACTCCGTACATGAGGTCGAGGTCCGCTGCCGGGTGCGACGTTCCTTTTCGCGGCCCTGCGACTCTTCGGTCTTAAGCATTTCCTGCGGCTATCTCAATGAGGACTCTGCGGCGCGCATATTTTCATGGTGACACTATTTTGTCACATCCTGCAGCGTTTATATGGAACTTTGGCAGAAGGAAAAGAAATG